CGCAACCTTTTACATCTTAAATTTTATCAGTCAAAAAAAAACAACAACATGTCTATTTGTTTTGGTCTGATCCAGACTACGTTTATATGATGACAATCTGAACAGAAGACACAAAAGTGTCTTCGTGTCTTCACTTTTTATTCTGCGTTTTTGGGAGGAAATCTTCATGCATGCGTTAAGGCAAAAGGGTCTGGAATTCATGACCACTATGGTCATGAGCTCTGGGTAGTGACCGAAAGGACAAGATCGCGGATACAAGCGTTCGAAATGGGTTTCCTCCGCAGGGTGGCTGGGCGCTCCCTTAGAGATAGGGTGAGGAGCTCAGTCACACGGGAGGAGCTCGGAGTAGAGCTGCTGCTCCTCCACGTCGAGAGGAGCCAGTTGAGGTGGTTCGGGCATCTGTTCCGGATGCCTCCTGGGCGCCTCCCTCTGGAGGTGTTCTGGGCATGTCCCACCGGGAGGAGGCCCCGGTGAAGACCCAGGACACGCTGGAGGGACTATGTCTTTCGGCTGGCCTGGGAATGCCTCGGGGTCCCCCCGGAGGAGCTGGAGGACGTGTCTGGGGTGAAGGAAATCTGGGAGTCCCTGCTTAGGACTGCTGCCCCCGTGACCCGGCCCCGGATAAGCGGACGAAAATGGATGGATGGGTCTGGAATTCAATTTGGTATGCATGCCAGGCGGCTAGGTGGTGATGCTAGATGGTGATGTATGTGATGTAAATGCGTATGCGATGTGAGCAGAGTTGACCAGAGTTCTGCATCTTGGGCAGTGTAGACGGAAACGCTACAGTGGAGCATATTCAACCTTTCCACTCTGGAGGGTGGTTTCAGATTTTGGCATTTTTAAGCCCCAAAAACGCCGTCACGGTCTAACGAAAGACACTTCCGATAAAATATTTAGTTGTTTTTACTTGCATTCTCGTGTAAACAGGCTCCCAGATGATCAGCTGATATTACACTACAGGCTTATAGGTGCTGCTTTTGTACTTCCAAGGTCTAGGGCCCATTATCACATTATGACATTTAAACGCACCTCAATCAAGCCATCACATTTTAGTGGGGCAATTAAATGATGTTTACCCAACCTTATGCCCATGATAAACGATGAATACCAGACCATAAACTTATCACACATGTTTTGGTAATTAACACATCTTTGGCTGTTTGTTCATTACGTATTACCAATCAACACATTAGGATAATGAAAGGAAACTGGTTCTGAGAGGGAAAGCTTGCGGGCTCCGTTCCATCACCATTATGAGCAGTGAACATATTTATAAACCATTTTAGTAGCATATGGGCCAATCTTGCATTATGAAGTTGAGTGGATGGCTGTAGGGCTATCACGCTAACTATTGTCTATGAAGTCACAGCAAGCGTGGTGGTGGTGGCACTGAGAGAGTTAATTAACTGATGCAGGGGGAGCATAAGGGGTGATGGAGGAGCTTTTGAATTATGGAACAGTGGAATGCTGTGACGGGTGGTAGCGTCCGGCCATATGTCAGCGTATGCCTCCTGTGTGGGGCTGGGGGACAGCTGGTCAGATTGCTCATGTTCAACCAAGTTAGAGACCAATCAATCAAAAAAGGGGGCAGCTTGTGGAGTTGTTTAAGCGGGGGAAAGAATTTGAAAAAGAGCTGGAAGTCTTTTGTGATTAGCACCCTGACACCAATAGGGATTTGTCAAGAATGCTTAGCAAGTCGGAAATCACTCTTCATGGATACAGTGGGGACACAGTGCATCTGATGGAGCGTCCTCAATTTAAAATTTAAATATGTTTGTCCAAGGGGAAAAGGCAGTGAGTCAGAACAGGCTGTTTTGATTTATAACGTTTTAACCAACAAGGCCTAAAGTCGTGACTCGTGACTATTGATGGTGTTTTCATAAATATTGTCGAGGTGTGCTGGTACCATAGACTGTATATATGGATGGACATAGCTAAACTGCTAGAGGCCCTATTCCAGATACATAGGAAGTGAGCATGAGCACTAGGGTTGGGCAGTAATACGGTATTACGGTATCCCACGGTATCAAAAAGTAGCAATGGTATCAGGTTCATTACCATCATTAAAAAAAGCTGCACCGCATAAGGACCTAATATAACATTATAATGTATTGATACCTAAATTTGTTTATCGTAATTTAATGATATCACGATTTAAAACTAATAGTATCTATAATGTTTCTTTTAACTGCGTGGGGAGATGACGTTCGATTAGGTTCGTTCTGTTGTCACGTGACAGCTCATGAAGGAGACCAAGACAAGGTGGCAAGTCCGGCTGCAAGCAAGTTGGTCCCAAAACAAATAGTACTACTAGCCGCATTTTGGCTTTATGTTTTACAGAAATAAAACATAAAACCAAATGGCTCATTTGCATAAACTATAAAGAGCTGACAAAAACAGCTCTTTACTTGTGCGCTGATGCACTCAGCTTTTGTCGGACAAAAGAACACGACTCAGTGGATTTTATGTGTTCTTTCTGCGACAGAGGATGTGCGGCTGGCTCCATTGACTCTGGCTCCAGTTTACTACATTGAAACATTGTCACCATTTTCTCTGTAACTACTACACATGAACCAGGTGTTTTTATTTCACTATTTTGTCTGTGAGTAAATTCCTGTTCCTAATATGGAACTCCAAATTCTCTCTTATAACTGCAACAACTACAACTACAATCCGTGAGCTTCATTTGACTGGAGCCAAACACTATGGGTGACATCCACCTTAGTTCCCTTGTTTATACAGTCTCTGGATGGTACTCAATGCCAGTAGCTGATAGCGCTGGTTATCATAAGGTTACGTCTGATGGTAGTATTTCTATGCACTTTTCTGATGTTATATTGCACTTCAACTCGATTTCACTTTTTTAAAATACACTTTCATACTTAATTTGTGGAAAGAGCAGAGACAATAAGAGCCAGTAAAACTTTGACTGGTTCATGTCTCTGTTGTTAGACGCTTGTGATGGATTCATATTCGGCTGGGTACATGCGCCGCTGGGTATGACTGTCTGGATGTCAGCAGTGCTTGGTTCTTTCTAACTCACCCGGATGTATTTATTAAACATGCAACTGTAGTGATTACATAAGCCCACTGTCGCTTCCATTGCATGCATAAACACTCACATTTCTTATGAGAGAACAGCTAAAAATACCAGAGTGCACCAATGCATTTGCCTTTGAAAATAGCTGCTTTTGTCAGAGTCTCTGCCGGGCCAAAGTGATATGGTCACACTGATCAATAGTCTCTGTTACACATGATATATTTCCCATGGCTCTGGCTGTCTGCTTTACTCCATCTGTCTGTGTCTGTGCAGCCCAATCCACACACACATACGCTCACACACACACACAAGTGACAAGCCTGTTTATCAGACACAGCTCCACGTCCCCCGAGAGCCAGAGGTGGTTAGGCACAAATAGGGCTGTTGCTACCTCTTGAACTACGCCCATAGAAAAATGTTTGTTTAAATGCTGCTAAACTGATTGCATAATGAATGTGTTTGGATGACCTTGATGTTGACAGAAAGACAGCACTGTAGAATCCCAACAGAATTCATTAAATTTGAATTTCTTAAGTTTACTTGTCCGATGAAAAGCAGCCAGAAAGCTCTTAATGTTGTAATGTGGGTTGTCAAGATATGCCAGGTCCCAATATAACTGTTAGAATTGAAAATTATATATTGCGAGAACTTAAAATTCAATCTGTATTTCAAAACTGTAAATTTTAAGGGCTTTTTTGGCAGTTTATGTCTTTAACTTTGCTAGTTCTCTAGAAGGCAGTGTGAATAAGAGTGAATCAAGCATTTCATTATTGTTTGGTCATGTGTCAGTTAGGGATGCATCAGTACCAATACTGGTATCGAATATCGGCACCAATTTAGTAAAATTATATCATGAAATCTATTCCATGATCTCAGTTCAGTCAGTATCCTGGTTGGACCTTTAATTTGATGTAAAGAGACTATTCACTGACTATTGTAGGCCCAGGATGTCTCATAATGTTCGAACTTTAATTCTTACAAAGCACTTCAGTATTTCTTGCAGGATTAATAGGTTACATAACATAACTGGATCAAACTTGTTTTCAATCCCTACAATGGTATGCACACTGATGGATATTTTACTTGAATCATTTGTGGTTGACTGAGATGCCAGTTTACACTGAATCATTGCAAAAATGTATGTCTTAATTGCTTACTACAGACTGTCCTTGACATGAGACACTAGATCAGATTTGGAATATAAAAACATTTCACACTTCGATGCTTATTAAAAATGTTGTAAATCTTAATGCAATAACATAGGCTCGATATGTTTTTAAGACTGAAACAAATAGAGCAGTGCGTGTTTGTTGATTGTTGGACTAGATGTGTTTAGACTGTAGTAATTTAAACTCTATGGGTAATAATTGTTAAAATAAATAATTTTATTTTAAAGATTCAAGTCCTGCTTATATTTTGAGTAGCTCATAAAATATTGAAATTTGCCCCAGATGCAGTCTAGACACCAGTCGTTAACATGGTGGGTCCAGCTGAAGTATATGATATATGGGTCACGAGACACCTGGCACTAATAGAAAATGCCTATGAGATGGAAGGTGGGGCTTGTTTTGTGTATGACAGCTTTTAAATATTGAAGACTTCAAAATTAGGGCAGCATAATTCATTAGACAAGTTTGATTGGCCAAATGGAATTGTGGGTGTGGCTTTGTTGATCTGATTATAGCTATTCCCGCTCATCATTTTATATATATCCTGTATTTCTGTGCCTCAAATGATTATTGATTCCCATTTCTTTTTATGGCTAAAGGATATACTGTAAGTTGCATTAACATCAGGAAACTAATGTGTGTAGGTATAGCTAAACTCGGTAACAGACTTGACTGAGAATGCAATGCAAAAATTTGCCGTTTAATTTTACTCCAAGCTATTTCAGCAGCACACTGGTATAAAAATAGAGTGTTAACAAGAAGTCTAATTTTGTGTGTCTCTTTTACAGGTCTGTATGGTGTCAAACGCACTGAGCTGTGAGGCAAACAGCTCACCACAAGAGCGTCTGGGCTCAGCAGGAAGTGCCGCCATATTAACTTCCAGGTCAACTTCGGCCGTCATGTGGGCCAGATGTCTGCTCTTCCTCTGCATCTTGATAGCTCCCATCGCCATAGGTAAGATTTCAAATGGCTCACATGGTTCAAAGTAGTCTAATTATATAACCAGTGATGCAATTTTAGTTAAAACATATCTTCTTATTTTTGCTGCATAATTTGAATTTATTATTACCATTTAAATGTGCGCTCCTTGTTTTTATAATATATAGTCATGTGTGAGCTACTGTGTGTAAATAATTTCCCTTGTGGATCAATAAAGTTTGTCTAAGTCTAGTCAGCGTACATAGGCCTGCCACGATAATTACCGTATTGGCTTATTGTTCAATATATGAAAGATTAAACAATTATTTTTGGGTTTATCTTGGGTAATTTTTATTTGTACTCGTGAGGAAGTTTTTGTTCTTTTTTGTTTGGGATAATCCTGCTTTTTTGGTTATTGTTTCAGTGGGATAAATTAGTTTCAGTACTATTATCATCTATATTTTCCACAGCAATATATCATACTTGAAAATGTGTTATGGTGACAGGCCTATGCGTTCACAATACTCTAGCTTCTCTATAGTTTAAAATGGAGCTGGAGGGCAGATAAGTTCGATTCAGTTATGTAATTTGCTATTTAGCAGTCAAATGCAGATTTGTCAACCTTGTTTCTGGTTCATATTTCTGTATTTATTGGGCCTATCCACATGAGGCAAAAACTGGCACAATTGTCTCTGTCAACACGAATAGACAAAAGTTTTCACAGTAGCTTCAAAAAGTGGTGCCATTATTCAATCTCATGATCTTGTGATTGTTGTCAGTTAAAAGGACTTTAAACCCTTACATTAATATTTAGTCTGAAAAGTTTGTGGAGTTAATTCCTAGCAGAAAACAATATAATTCAACATTTGTTATATTTGTCATAAGTTTGGACGTTTCATTCAGGGACTTTTACTTCTTCTACAAAATTTCAAGCTAAAATCTTTAGAGTCAATCTTCAGTCAAATAGTAGAGATTGTATTAATGTCTGTAACGCTTTCTGTTTGTTCTCTTGTGACACTACTTTTCATCTGAAATTGTAGAGCGTGGCATTACTTTGACTTTAAATATTTTAGTCCAAGTATTTTATTTTAGAATAGGAAATGCAGAAGTGCTCACCAATGGTCCAAAAAGAAGTACTTAAATGGAACATCACACAACCCCTGGCGTTCTTGTATCAAACATCTGAAAACACCACAAACGTTAACAAACTAAATTCCTGTGGTTAGAGTTAACAATTTGATCTTTGAAAGTTGTACCACTGTTACTCGTATTTCAATTTTACAAGAGTTAAATTAGCAGTGGCAAGTCCTCATAAAAGTACTCTCAAAAATAACCAGAAGTGATGACTATACAGCCTTATTCAGTACACAAACAAGACATAATGCAGACTAGAAAAAAGAAAGGAAACGTGCACTGCCTTTCTCTCTGGCTCATTTGCATATGCTTCATCTTTTTACTATGCACACTTTATATATTTTTTACGCTCTTCTTGTTGGCTTCAAACACGCCCTGAATGTGCACATACGCTCCCAGTAGGGCGTCTGCGCGTTCTTCTTTCTCCCCCTCGCGACGTTTGGCTTTGAAGACTCCTAGAGGGAGCTGTGGCCCACTTGGACTTAATCCTATTAATGGTTGCCGTCAATCATGGAACTTGCACTTCCAGCACACATGATATAACTCAACGTACTCCACATGCGCACACCTATAACTAACACAAGAGGTGATCAGAGGCAAGTACCTAAACACGAACTGGAGCCACACGAGCTACAGTCAGGTATTTGCATCAATGTCAAAAGAGTAAGACGACATATGCAAATTGGAGCTGTTTATACTTAGCAAGGGATTAGCTGAAACAAAGGCAGTGTAGCTGGAGGACACACAAGAAGCAAAATACTCAATCTTCCACCATTGAGCCCATTTATTCCAGGGCTATGTGGATATGAATAAAAGAAAAGTGGGAGAGCATAAATAGTTCATCAAAGACGGATGATTTATTTGTCTTAACCTGGCTGAATAGATGGGATTAGCATGTTAGCATTTTTACAGGCTTTTATAATTCAGTCAATGCGGATCTTAAATGAGCCCAGGCTAAATGCTGGATTTTTTAGGCTAAGTATTAAATCTTTGTTTTATTTATACAGCGCTGTAGGACTCCTCAGAGCTTTGAGGCGATAGGATTTATTGCCTCACTGGCTTCTGACACCTGGTTCACATCATGAGAAAAGTCCTCCCAAAAACTATGAAAATAAGAAAGCATAACGCATGTTCTCTATTTAATACACTCTACTGAATTATACTCACATGAGAAGCACTACGGGACCTCCATGAAGGCTGTGATGTACTGATGACTGGATTAATACTAAAATATAGATATTGGCAAAGTATCAATAGTAGTAAGTATTTACCATGCAAAAAACCTAGTTCTTCCCCCCAAAAATGTGTTTTTAAGAATCATTTATCATTTTGGTTCAACTCAGTTCTATTCATTTTAATATAAAATTAATTGGTTTTGGTACTGGTAGACTGCAGTACTTGCCATAGTTAATTACTTTAACCAGAGCAGAAATCACTGGTTTGGCTCATCAGTGCGATCTTGCAATGGTTCAGGTCTAAATGCTGTGTCCATGTCCTGAAGACCTCATAACTCAATATAGTATTTTCCAACTAAAAATACATTTGTTTTGTTCATCTGTTCCCGTACAAGCCCCTTGTGGCTATAGATTGTATCTAATATATCGTTCTCACAGCCATATAGGCTGTTATTCCTGAATCCCTCCAGTGTCCTGAATGTGTGTGCATGTTTTTCTTGGCTCATTAGTTTACCTTTCTTCATTTCTTACAACCAGTGCTTGCAAAAAAAAAAACAGAGAGAGAGAAGAAAAAAGATTCTCCTTATTTTATATCAATAGTCACCCAAGCCAAAATTTAAAATGAAGACAGTGACAGCTATGGTGGTTTGCAAAACGGCCAAGGAGAGTAAAGAGATCTGAACAGAGAAGTCTTATCATGTGGGGAAATGGACTTGCAGTCAGGGGAGGTCAAGGACGGGCAGTGATCCAGTCCAAGGCGTTCTGGATAAAAGAAGCCAATAGAGGGGGAGTATAAGCTTAAAGGACCAAGACAGAGGCTATATGAGTGACGTAACAGATGAGATTTTTATGGTCCTAATATAGATATGAGCTTAAAGGGCCCATATTAGGCTATTCTCTGATCCATGTTATAATATTCTTTCCTCTTCACAAACAGTTGTGTTTTGTTTCATTCACATGTTTAACACAAAGACCCTACATATTTAAACTGACTTCTTCTCTCAAACAGAAAGCACTCTGTTCCACCTTGTGATGCCATGTGGTAAAACAGGACATGCTCCACTGTGTTTTAAAACCCCATACCTAATCATTTGGATAATTTCAGATGTGGAATCCAATATCTACTGAACTAAAGATAAAAGGAGCTGTTAACTTGAAAACTATCACTATGAAGTCACAAGGTGGAACATTTTGAGCTTCAGATATGCAGACAGACTAATAATAAAGGATTGCTCAAACATGTGTGAAAGAAACAAAACACTACTTTTGAGGAGATAACAACATTATAATATGGCTTAAAGCTCACAAGAGTCAATTTTGTGTAATGTAGAACCTAATAGTGGTTAGCAGGAGTCATAATTGATTTCAAATGGTAGCTGATTTGAATGGTAGTTAAAAAACTGTGTAAAAATTCTAAGTACCCTAAAATTTGTAAATTTATGTAATGTCGAGAAGATGTAAGGATATATTTAGGTGGTTAATATTAGAAGTTATCAGAACTTTGAAATTTAAGTAAAGTTTCAGAGTTTCTCTTTCTCAGACTTTCTACATACTTTCTTCAGACTATAGGTTAAAAATTCAAAGGTAAACAGTATGCTACTTTCTTTTTGCCTTGTTCATTTAACAAATATGCTAGGTTTCCACAGTGGCCAAAATATGTATCTAAAATTTTCATTCGGCAAAACAAAAGCCTCAAAAGCATCAATGGTCGGAGAACAGAGCCCTGTGGTGCACCTCTGCTGAGAATTCTTTCACTTGTGATTAGGCACTTGTGTGCTGTGGGAGTCTAAAGTGAAAAGTTCTGAGTGTTTAAAAAATACTTTTCTTCGGTTTATGGGTAAAAACTTTCTTTTTGAGGATAATGGAAGATAAGAGATGAGATTTAGCAATGATTTAGAGAGAGGGGTCTCCTAGGTCTCATACAAAAAGCATAGCTATTGTATTTCTGTAAGCTCAGAAATAAAATAATTTGAAAGGTTTATATTAGCTGCATTTGTTGCACATATTTTTTTTCCATATTAGTTTGTGAATTGTTTATTTGCACAAGGAATAATTTCATCGTTTTCTGTGACATCTTAATCACAAATTAATATTTGTGTGTATCTTTTTGCACCTCAACTCGAGTTGAAAAGTCTAAAGTAGTCTATACAATTTCACAGTATGAATTATAACTTTTTTTTCTTTTAAAGATCATTAAATACAATTTTTGTCTTCTCGTTTGCCATCGCCCATCAGTGACACCCCAAACATTTTGGCAGTTCAAGTGAGAGATCACCTTTTAAATCTCTCCTCTTCCTCTCTCTCCAGCGTCTTCTCTGCTTCTCTCCATCTATCCACCTCTTTCGCCACTCTCTTGTTCTTGGCCCAAATGTAAAAATCAATATCCTTTTGTTTCAGCCCCCCGAGGCAAAGAGAGAGTCTGAATAAGACTGTCTGTACTGTCTGGAACAGCCAAGTTTCTGTCACCACTTACACAACTAATGACATGCACCGCTCACACAGTGTTATTACATGTGTAAACACTGGGATCATGTGTGACGACAGAGGTGCTGTGTGACAGCTTTGAGAGAGGGATTTGTGCAGAGACGGTTCTCACAAGGTCACGCTTCTCCCCTTTATATTTTATAAGGTTTTTGTCAGCATTAGATATTTTTAGGCACTTGGCTCTATTTAAAAAATTATGTAGTGGTCATAGAAATCAACAGCAGTTACATTTATTTTGTTTGC